TTAAATCAACACTTCCAATTATAATTTTTATAATTTGTGAGAGAATTTATTTTATATTTATATAATAATTGCATTTATTATGTTTTTATCAATATTATTTTAATATATTTATATTTTTCAAAGTTTTCCTTAAGTTTAAAAACAGGGTTGCCAGATTCTTTCAAACAAAGAGTGGGAGAATTTAACCATAAAAATACAAAATATTCTAAAAATTAATATATAAGAATAAATAATTCATATTTATTTTAGAAGATTTTACATATTTATTAAATTATTAATTTTTGTTTTAATCAAGTTTTTTCCTAAGCATGAACAATATCCTTCAATTTCTTAAAGTTATGTTTTTAGGTTTATTTGAAACTTTGTTTCCTTATTAGAATAGTGCATTGGTAATGTTTTGGTATCTCCATTATTTGAGGCAATGTTAAAGGAAATTGATAATATAAAGTATTAACAATAAAGTGGCTTGATATTTTTTATTGATTCCTCAATTTTTAAAAAAGGGCTTTGTAATAAATTAATAAATGATTATTTATGTATATTGTATATTAAAAATAGAATCGAACATTCGAAAAATAAAAAATAAAAATTTGATATCAAAAATAAATTGAAATATAAATCAGTGGTCGTATTGTTTATAATTAGTAGTTGGTATTACTACAAATGGCGACGATAAATGGAGAAAATAATTCCTTAAATGGAGATAATAATTCCTTAAATGGAGAAAATAATTCCTTAAATGGAGATTCAAAAAAAATAGCGGATTTATCTACGATTAAATTTGATAAATTCGAGTTGGATACTTCTATCCACAGATATTTTTCTCAATGGGAAGCCAGTTTTCGGTTAAAAAACGTAAGCCCATCTGAATGTCAATATAAAGATATATTTTTAACATTTTTTGGCAATAAGAATATTGAGTTGGTGGACCGTTTTTGTTATCCTGATTCGATCGAAACTTTATCTTTTAAGGAAATTAAGTCAATATGTTTTAAACTATTTAAACCGACATCAACAGCTTTTGCTTCTAGATTTGATTTCGTTAGATTACGGAGAACAACTGAAACCATAACTGAATTTGCAGATAAAATTAGAACAATTGGCAAGCGTTGTCATTATCTTAATGATATTGACGAGCGTTTACGTGATCAGTTTATGGTTGGCATGGAAATACCGGGATTGGAAAGAGATCTTAGAGCTCTATATCCCGACGGTCTTGATAGAGATAATAATGTACTGACTTTTCAATTTATTCTTGATCTGGCATTAGCTTCTGAGCGAGCAGATAAAGAAATGGCAAATAAAAATATGCCAGTTGTTAATAAGATAAATGTTAATAACAAAAGAAATGATAATGATAATAATTATAAACATCCAATAAAAACGACGACTACAATTGATAAAGGCTATAATAAAGTCAAGTATAATAATACATTTGATAAAGAGAATAATAACTACAAATATAATAATCATAAAGATTATAATAAACTTAAATGTTATAAATGTGGTTTTATTCATAACCGAGAAGTGAGATGTCCAGCTACAAATGCGGCATGTAATAAATGTAAAAAAATTGGTCATTTTGCAGTTTGCTGTAAATCAAAGAATTTAAATTATATAAGAGTGTCATCAAGTGATTCTATTCATAATATTTGGAAGATTCAACAAAATCGAGAGAATCGAGCAAAACTAACTGCAGAGATGAATGGGTTAGATGTTGAATTTGATTTTGACACTGGTGCACAAGCGTCATTGATAGGAATTGATATATGGACAAGTATTGGGCGACCAAAAATTAGGCCAACCAGTCCATTGACTGCATATGGTGATCATCCGTTAGACGTCAAGGGCGAGACCCAAGTCAATGTTAGGATTGGATCACAGACAAGGACTCTACCAGTGGTAATAATGAATACAACTGGGGTGCCTCTTTTCGGATTACCATGGATTATAGCATTCAATTTAGAAATGCCTCGTCAGGTTATGATTAAACAAGTACGCAATTTGGTCAACAATATTGAAAAAGAAAAATGTTGCATAACACTAGATTCTAGAATTCGAGATTTGATTAATAAACATCAAGAAATTTTTGATGATAAGATGGGACATATACGTGATTTTGCAGTGCGAATACATTTAAAGGATACCGCTGTACCAAGATCGTTTCCAGCCCGTAGGGTACCATTTCCACTTCGCAAAGCAATTGAAATGGAATTAGACCGATTAGTAGCTGCAGGAATTATTGAAAAGATTGATTCGACTATAACCAGGGTACAGTGGTCAACGCCAACCGTAAATGTACGCAAGAGTAATGGCGATATTCGAATTTGTGCTGATTTCAAAGTTACACTCAATCCGTGTTTATTATATGACCATCATGTTATTCCTACCTTAGACGATTTATTAGAGAAAATCCAAGGTGGTGATAAATTTACCATGATAGATCTGAAAGATGCGTATTTACAGATGGAAGTAGAATTGGAATCCCAGGAACTACTAACGATAGTGACTCATAAGGGCTATTTCCGTTACCGACGATTGCCATTTGGATTGGCAAGTGCACCAACTATATTTCAAAGATATATGGATGAGTTACTAAAAGATTGCCAAATGACTGGTGTCTATTTAGATGAAGTAATTATTTCTGGTCGAAATGATGAGGAGCACTTAAATAATTTGCGAATAGTGTTAGACAGATTACATGCAGCAGGTCTTAAGGCGAAATTAACAAAAGTGAGATTTTTACAAAAATTGGTTTCATTTTTAGGGGTGATAATTGATAAATTCGGTATACATCCTAACCCGGAAAAGGTGAAGGCTATCCGAAATGCACCAAAACCTAAAAATATACAACAACTTAGATCTTTTCTAGGACTAGTTAATTATCATGAACGTTTTATTCGCAATCTACATTCTAAAGCGGCGCTACTACATAGATTAACGAGCGTGAAAGTACCTTGGCAGTGGTCGAAAGATGAACAAAATTCCTTCGATGAGGTTAAGAAATTATTGGATCTAATGCAAAATACCTCTGCTGATGCTATGATAAAACGACTAAAAAAATGGTTTGCTAGGTTTGGAATACCCAAGTACATTGTGTCAGACAATGGACCACAATTCTTATCTGGGGAATTCCGTAGGTATTGTGATTTAAATAACATACGTCATATCCTTTCAGCACCCTATCATCCAAAAACTAACGGTAGCTGAACGTACAGTATGAACTTTGAAAGGTCGGTATTATGCAACGAGAGATTCAATTAGCGATCCCGAAGAAGCTATGACACAGGTTTTAACAACCTACCGATTGGGAGAGCATAGTTCCACAGGGAGATCTCCTGCTAAAATTATGTTTGGGAGGTAATTGAAAACAAGTCTGGATTGGATCCGACCAAATGCCGAACACGAAATAGTAAGGGCTAATGATAAACAAAGCCTTCATCATGATTTACATTCAAAGGAAAGAGAATTTGAAATCTCACAACCTATATGGTTAAATAATGAAAATACCAATGGTTGGAGAGAGGGAGTAATTAAAGAAAGAATAGGACTTTATTCTTATATTGTTGAATCTTCCGGGAAAACATTACGGAAGCATGCAGATCAGTTAAGAAATCGTTTAGTTATCCCAAATCTTTGGAAGTTACAGAAATGGTTGTGCCAGTGAATGAAGCAAATACAAACACAAATACAAATACCGCATTACGTTGCTCATCAAGAAACCGTAAACCTACAAAGAGGTTTATTGAAGAAATCTAACTTTAAATTGTTTGAAGGAAATGTAATAAATTAATAAATGATTATTTATGTATATTGTATATTAAAAATAGAATCGAACATTCGAAAAATAAAAAATAAAAATTTGATATCAAAAATAAATTGAAATATAAATCAGTGGTCGTATTGTTTATAATTAGTAGTTGGTATTACTACAGGCTTCTCATCTTTTCCCCAAATTTTATTTAATCCAATTAGATGGAAATGAGAAGTACCTAGCGTAGCTCTGTTGTACCTACAACGTTTAGAGGGCATATGCGCTTTATGACGTATGACGTAAATTCTCTATATCAATACAAAATAAATTCTCACCTCAACTGATGATTTTAGCAAGTTCTTCAATTCATTTTATTAGTAATCTAAAATATAAGACTCAAGATATACATATTTAAAAAGCCACAATACCACCCTTCATGCAAAATATTACATACCTCTATCTATTACACCCTCAAAAAATCCACCAAATAATCTCCAATTAACCTTACCACCCAGATTCCTTTAACCCATATGGATCAAATGCCTCGATCATTATTTTTAAATTATCTATATCAATACAAAATAAATTCTCACCTCAACTTGATGATTTTAGCAAGTTCTTCAATTCATTTTATTAGTAATCTAAAATATAAGACTCAAGATATACATATATAAAAAGCCACAATACCACCCCTCATTTCCAAGAATATTAGCTTTTATAGTTTTATCAAATTCACTTGATATTTCAATAAAAATATTGTTACACACATGTTGTTCATTTATAGAATCTTTTAATTAAAAATAATAAATATATTATTTTTATATTTTACATATATAATCTTTTATGATTCCTGTCTTAATAATAAATATCATAGATGCACCTATATTTATTGTAGTAGCTGGTACTTTTAATTTTATGTAATATAGTGGCTTATAACTTAAAACAATAATCACTCATAAGTTTATGTAAAAAATAGACCTGTATAGATAAAATTAAATAAAATCTACAAATTTTGTTACTAATAAGAGAAATAGGTGCTGTTAATTTTTTTATTTTGTATTATTAATTTTATTATAAAGGAAGAACTAAAGATAACTCCAAAAGTATATACTATTAAGATTCTCTTCATAGTTGATCATTTGTTTTGTTTTGATTATTTCATCTTAATTATAAATGACAAATAAAAAAATATCTTTTATTTTTTTTCAATAAATACATAATGTAATAATATCATTTTTTGCTTGAGTATAAATTATATTATATAAATCATTTATTTAAAGTATATTTAATAAGTATATAATGATATAAATGTATAGGCCTTGAAAAGGAAAAGATATTGCAACAATTCACTTTCATATTATTTTTGAGTACATTTTCGTCATTTTTGATTATATCATCACCTATAAAAAATTAATATAATTAATTAGCATAGATAATATATAAGATCATAATTTTTATAATATGCCTAATATCTGGTCATTCCTTATACAATATAATTTTTAAAATATAATAGAAGATATATATATTATTATATATGACTTATTGATTATTAAATTGTATTGCTTTCGTAAGATTCTGCCACATACCAGTTCTCAATTCCTGGTTTCTTAAGTCAGCAAAATGATAAAATCTAATATTTAAATATCTTTAAAAAAAATAGTATAAAATCTAATAATTGGTTACTTTTGAACAATTAATTTTACAAGAATTTGAAAATGGCTGTACCCAATTTCATGTTCAATGATATGATCACAAAGATCAATAAAGAGATTTGTGCCTATTAAAAAAATATTAAATTCATTTCTTTTAAATATTTGTACCTATTATTTTGGAAAAAATTAATACTTCCATTTTTTTTAAAATATTTTTATGTGTGATTTCATTTTGATAAGTTCTAAATGAACTTTCACATATTCTGCATAGTTTGGACATACTAGTAGAAGCTATCACCAACCCCCCCCCATTATTTTTAATATTTATTAGCATATTATTGATATTATTATCATTATAAGAATCACTAACCATTGCTGTAATGCAAACATCACAACGTAGCTTTTTTTCTTTAATAAGTTGGTGTACAATATATCCCGATATATAAGTTGATACATTATCTAAATATAAAGATAATTTCGGGATATGTGGGTTTGTGTTTCTAAAATAATAAGATGAAGTGGTGGGTATGGGTACTAGATTGGCTATAGGTTTGATAATGTTAACATCTATTTTTGATATAATTATATATTAATTAAAAATAATAAATATAAAAATAATAAACTTGTGATAAAATATATGGAAATTGTTTACTATTTTATTTGTTTTATTAAAATTTTGAACACAGCACACTCCCATTATCTAAATAAAATAATAAATGATAGTGATATTAAAAGACATGTTTTGTATGTATCCTAAAATGCATTAACATATGATTTATAAGTCCATACTCAATTATGTTAACCCTTCACTACAAAGGTGGGGTAAATAATACCCCACGGCTTTTATAATCTAGGTAATGAAAAAACCTGAAGATATCTTGACCCAATTTTTATAGTAGTTTAATATTTTCTTATAAAGAATATATCTACCAAATTTCAAGATAATTGATTTGATATTTTTTAAAATATTTGCAATTTGTTGAGCTTGGGGTATTATAGGTCCCACCTTTGTACTTAAGTAATTTTTTTTTCACAATTTTTTTTTATTGATAAATATTATTGTATATTACAAACTAATATATAAAATTGAAAAAAAAAATTTTATTTGTAAATTTTTCATTGTTATATTGTAACTCAAAATTTTAAAATTTTATACTATTTTTTTTCTTGTGGAGCAAAATACTATAAAATTAGCATATGGAAAATTTAATATCATCAAGTTCTGGAAGTATTTTCTATTTAATATTTGATATTTATAAAATTTATATAGGTGAAGTAGATTTTGAGTCAGATGATGATTATTTGTATAACAGCAATCATAATTCTGAGACAGAGAATGACAATATAGATAGTGATGTGTGTGAAGATAGCTATAGATTGAGTCCATTGAAAAAGATGACTCTATTTATCATGCCAAAATGGATGAAAATGAATTGAATGCCTTAGTTGGTTTGCTAATGATAGCTGGAGTTTATAAATCCAGTCATCAAAATATAAGAGATTTATGGAATAAAGATGGATTTGGTGTTGATATATTTAGATATACTATGAATATAAATAGATTCCAATTTCTATTGAAAGTGCTTAGATTTTGTAATAAATTAATAAATGATTAATTATGTATATTGTATATTAAAAAATAGAATCGAACATTCGAAAAATAAAATAAAATTTGATTTTAAAAATAAATTGAAATATAAATCAGTGGTCGTATTGTTTATAATTAGTAGTTGGTATTACTACAAATGGCGACGATAAATGGAGAAAATAATTCCTTAAATGGAGATAATAATTCCTTAAATGGAGAAAATAATTCCTTAAATGGAGATTCAAAAAAAATAGCGGATTTATCTACGATTAAATTTGATAAATTCGAGTTGGATACTTCTATTCACAGATATTTTTCTCAATGGGAAGCCAGTTTTCGGTTAAAAAACGTAAGCCCATCTGAATGTCAATATAAAGATATATTTTTAACATTTTTTGGCAATAAGAATATTGAGTTGGTGGACCGTTTTTGTTATCCTGATTCGATCGAAACTTTATCTTTTAAGGAAATTAAGTCAATATGTTTTAAACTATTTAAACCGACGTCAACAGCTTTTGCTTCTAGATTTGATTTCGTTAGATTACGGAGAACAACTGAAACCATAACTGAATTTGCAAATAAAATTAGAACAATTGGAAAGCGTTGTCATTATCTTAATGATATTGACGAGCGTTTACGTGATCAGTTTATGGTTGGCATGGAAATACCGGGATTGGAAAGAGATCTTAGAGCTTTGTATCCCGACGGTCTTGATAGAGATAATAATGTACTGACTTTTCAATTTATTCTTGATCTGGCATTAGCTTCTGAGCGAGCAGATAAAGAAATGGCAAATAAAAATATGCCAGTTGTTAATAAGATAAATGTTAATAACAAAAGAAATGATAATGATAGTAATTATAAACATCCAATAAAAACGACGACTACAATTGATAAAGGCTATAATAAAGTCAAGTATAATAATACATTTGATAAAGAGAATAATAACTACAAATATAATAATGATAAAGATTATAATAAACTTAAATGTTATAAATGTGGTTTTATTCATAACCGAGAAGTGAGATGTCCAGCTACAAATGCGGCATGTAATAAATGTAAAAAAATTGGTCATTTTGCAGTTTGCTGTAAATCAAAGAATTTAAACTATATAAGAGTGTCATCAAGTGATTCTATTCATAATATTTGGAAGATTCAACAAAATCGAGAGAATCGAGCAAAACTAACTGCAGAGATAAATGGGTTAGATGTTGAATTTGATTTTGACACTGGTGCACAAGCGTCATTGATAGGAATTGATATATGGACAAGTATTGGGCGACCAAAAATTAGGCCAACCAGTCCATTGACTGCATATGGTGATCATCCGTTAGACGTCAAGGGCGAGACCCAAGTCAATGTTAGGATTGGATCACAGACAAGGACTCTACCAGTGGTAATAATGAATACAACTGGGGTGCCTCTTTTCGGATTACCATGGATTATAGCATTCAATTTAGAAATGCCTCGTCAGGTTATGATTAAACAAGTACGCAATTTGGTCAACAATATTGAAAAAGAAAAATGTTGCATAACACTAGATTCTAGAATTCGAGATTTGATTAATAAAAATCAAGAAATTTTTGATGATAAGATGGGACATATACGTGATTTTGCAGTGCGAATACATTTAAAGGATACCGCTGTACCAAGATCGTTTCCAGCCCGTAGGGTACCATTTCCACTTCGCAAAGCAATTGAAATGGAATTAGACCGATTAGTAGCTGCAGGAATTATTGAAAAGATTGATTCGACTATAACCAGGGTACAGTGGTCAACGCCAACCGTAAATGTACGCAAGAGTAATGGCGATATTCGAATTTGTGCTGATTTCAAAGTTACACTCAATCCGTGTTTATTATATGACCATCATGTTATTCCTACCTTAGACGATTTATTAGAGAAAATCCAAGGTGGTGATAAATTTACCGTGATAGATCTGAAAGATGCGTATTTACAGATGGAAGTAGAATTGGAATCCCAGGAACTACTAACGATAGTGACTCATAAGGGCTATTTCCGTTACCGACGATTGCCATTTGGATTGGCAAGTGCACCAACTATATTTCAAAGATATATGGATGAGTTACTAAAAGATTGCCAAATGACTGGTGTCTATTTAGATGACGTAATTATTTCTGGTCGAAATGATGAGGAGCACTTAAATAATTTGCGAATAGTGTTAGACAGATTAAATGCAGCAGGTCTTAAGGCGAAATTAACAAAAGTGAGATTTTTACAAAAATCGGTTTCATTTTTAGGGGTGATAATTGATAAATTCGGTATACATCCTAACCCGGAAAAGGTGAAGGCTATCCGAAATGCACCAAAACCTAAAAATATACAACAACTTAGATCTTTTCTAGGACTAGTTAATTATCATGAACGTTTTATTCGCAATCTACATTCTAAAGCGGCGCTACTACATAGATTAACGAGCGTGAAAGTACCTTGGCAGTGGTCGAAAGATGAACAAAATTCCTTCGATGAGGTTAAGAAATTATTGTCATCCGAGGAAACGTTAATTCCTTATAACGCGCAGTTGCCTATAATTTTGGAATGCGACGCATCTGATTCAGGATTAGGGGCTGTGTTGTTACATCAATTAGTAGACGGAAGGACAAAACCTATTTCGTTCGCGTCACGTACTTTATTAGAATCAGAGAAACACTACGCTCCGATTGATAAAGAAGCTCGAGCACTTTTATTTGGTATTGAAAAATTTCATTCATTTATTTATGGTAGAAAATTTTTACTTCGAACTGATCATAAACCATTAGAGCGATTATTTGGGGAGAAACGCGATTTACCTAAAATTTCTAATAATCGTTTGACACGTTGGGCCTGGAAGATGGCTTCTTATGATTTTACAATAGAATATAGACCTGGTAATAAAAATGTAATCGCCGACGCATTATCAAGGCTTCCAATATTAGACACGGAAGAGAATCAAGATTCTAAACATGCTTTGGATATACGAAGTATTAATTTGGATGATATGCAATTGTCAGAAAATATTCTACGAAAAGAGTCGAAGCAAGATTTAATATTAAAAAAAGTAGCCATACATATTCAGCAAAGTTGGCGAAACTTTGATCGTTATAAAGATAAAGAAATAGTTAATTTTTATAATCGACGGGAAGAGCTTTCTGTCGATCGTGATATTATAGAATGGAATGGGAGATTGGTTATTCCTAATAAATTAAGAAATGCAGTGTTAGGAATGATTCACCGGGGACATCCTGGGGAAAATGTAATGAAATCTATTTTTAGATTGTATTGCTGGTGGCCCAGATGTGATGTTGATATAGAAAATTTTATCAAAATATGTTCTGGATGCCAGAAAAATAGACCTAGTATTCAAGAAGTACCTCTATATTCTTGGACTGTTGGAAAGGAACCTTGGGAGCGAATCCATATTGATTTTGCTGGACCAGTAGATTCGCGATACTGGCTAATAGGTGTCGATTCCTATTCCAAATGGTTAGAAGTTGATCTAATGCAAAATACCTCTGCTGATGCTATGATAAAACGACTAAAAAAATGGTTTGCTAGGTTTGGAATACCCAAGTACATTGTGTCAGACAATGGACCACAATTCTTATCTGGAGAATTTCGTAGGTATTGTGATTTAAATAACATACGTCATATACGTTCAGCACCCTATCATCCAAAAACTAATGGATTAGCTGAACGTACAGTACGAACTTTGAAAGGTCGGTATTATGCAACGAGAGATTCAATTAGCGATCCCGAAGAAGCTATGACACAGGTTTTAACAACCTACCGATTGGGAGAGCATAGTTCCACAGGGAGATCTCCTGTTAAAATTATGTTTGGGAGGCAATTGAAAACAAGTTTGGATTGGATCCGGCCAAATGCCGAACACGAAATAGTAAGAGCTAATGATAAACAAAGCCTTCATCATGATTTACATTCAAAGGAAAGAGAATTTGAAATCTCACAACCTATATGGTTAAATAATGAAAATACCAATGGTTGGAGAGAGGGAGTAATTAAAGAAAGAATAGGACTTTATTCTTATATTGTTGAATCTTCCGGGAAAACATTACGGAAGCATGCAGATCAGTTAAGAAATCGTTTAGTTATCCCAAATCA